AAGTTTACAAGTTTTTACTAAATTCGACACATATCGACTTAAAATAAATCTTTATTTATAAAAAAAAACTTTAAGTAGAAAAAAAATTGATCTTTATCTAATTATGTATATTCTTCTGTAAATTGAGATTATCGAGAGATCGTCCTAAATTGGTGCACTGAAAAAAAAATTTAAAATTCTATTTTTTAAGTTTCATATTTTTAACATGTTGCTTTTCCGCCTTTATATGCTCCATCTCATCCTTTTTTTGCTTTCGGGCCTCTTTTTTTTGTGCCTTTTCGGCCTCACGTACGATTCGTTTTTGGGCAGCCATCTCTTTTTTACGTTGCTTTTCGTTGGCTACTTTTTCGGCTTCTTCCTCCGCCTCCTTCAATTGTTGTAAGGACTTTTCATTTGTAAGAAGTTGAGAGAAGGGCATAGTCTTCCTTTTTTTCCTTTCTGGCAACCTTGGTTCAGATTGTTCTTCGTCAACTTCCAGATCTTTGGCCGGTTTCAAATTATGTCGCAAGGGATATTTAAGCACTAACTTCAAAGAACTTGTACCAGGTCTTTTAAAGGTTTCAAGTTCTTCTTCTAATATTTTAACCTTTTTTTTTAGCAACTCGACTTCTAATGCTAGTTGTTCTTTTGTAGGGTCTGGTTCGGTGGGGCATGTATAACCTGAGTTCAACTCTGAAGATTGTGAAGATTGTGACGACAAAGCTGATCATTCTTGAACTTGTAAAGTACCGAGATCCCACAAATTATCTAAACCATGTACAATGTGTTATCACAATAGTCAGTAAGTTTTGTAACAGTATTTTTTTTTTTATATACAGTAAATTATGGTAGAAATCATGAGAATTCAAATACAAACTAACCCCTTCGTTCTGTTGTCAATGAGGGACCCAGACAATCTGGACTAATGGCATTGGGATTGAATGGCCAAATTTCAGTAGACTTGAAGGCATTACATATGGCAGTAGGTGTATAGGTTGTAATATAGGCTGGCCCTAATGCCTTAGCAAACATATGCTTTGTCACAAGCTTACCCCCATAATTAACTCCAAACTTTTCACATTCATTATCATATATTTTTTTTAGTATAGCAAATGGTAATTCAGATGGCTGTAAAATGTGAGTAGTATGAGGGGGTAGCGCATAGAGAAGTATGTTGTACTCATAGCAATAGTTGACACTAGGATAGTTGATGTGACTTTTATGACCGTCCAGAATTAACAAAACAGGGCACACAGGTGGAATTGAACTAACAAAATGTTCAATGTATTTTTGAAACAGGCTCTCTCGCATGTATCCTGTTTCAGTGAACCCCATGACAGAGCCAACAGGTGCACCATTCAGAAGACCTAGGATTACTCATTTGCCTTTAAAAATAATCAATAGTGGGATGTATGTTCCGGCTGCTGAAATGATTGGGCATATGGAAATGTGTTCATAAGAGCTGCCATGTGAAACCTGATGAACCTGATGTGCTCCTTTCTTTGCTATAACTTTTTGGAGCCTCGGTTCGATGACAAAACCCATTTCATCCTAAAAAAAAAAAATTGAAAAAAAATAAAATAAATAATAATAATAAAAAAAAAAAAAAAAGAAAAAGGTCACAACAAGAAAAAAAAGAAAAGTAAAATAAAGGCCACAGCAAGTAAAAATGAAAAAAAAAAAAAAAAAAAAAAAAGAAAAAAAAAAAGGAAAAAAAAGATAGCACTATATTCCAAATTCGGTCAGCAGAAAGTGAGTATTCTTGGATGATTTTCTGAAGTTTCTCAAAGTGATCTTTAATGATATTAGGGTTTGCCCTTTGTGCATGGGCTTCATTTAGGGCTTGTGGAACATGAAATGAAAGTTCCAGATGATCTTTCATAAAGCGCTGCCACCATTTTTGCCCTGGTCCATTTTCATCAAAAGGATAGGGCCTTCTGTCTTGATGAATGATATCCATAACGCACTGGTTCACACCAGATTTTGTTAACCCAAAGCCAAGCTTCTGCATGTTCAAGCAGTAACCTACAAGCTGTTCTTCCTCATAGTTAGTTAGGATTTTGGCACGGCCCAGACGAGTGAGGGGACCATCATTTTTGATAGCACGTCGAAGGGTGGTTTCAGAAAGACTATAATCTCACGCGATACTTCTGGTGCTTAGAGCTAAGTTACTTGGTGAGTTTTTAATTGCCTTAAGGGCATTATTGATAGTATTATGTCGGGTAGTATAGTTACTATATTTTGGCATTATTTTATGTTAAGACTTTTGGGAATACAATAAACGATTTCAAATGTTTTTATTTTTTACTTGCATAACAGTGTTAACGTTTAACTATTTATTGTTATGATGCATGGCCTTTTATATTACTTATGAGATTACATGTGATGTTGTAAATATTTACGATCAATCATTTATTTTTTGGGCCAAATAAATTTTAAAACATGCGAGGGGTTTTTTTTTATTTTACACGAAGCATGCTTTTACTTTAATTATGCTTTATTATCTTACGTGCATCGTGTTTGTGACATTTTGTATACATTTTAATGAGACCAACGTGCTACAAGATTAAATAGGTCTTAAAAGTTACCCGAATTGGATTCAAAGGGACAATTAAATGTGCCCAAGTATGCAATTGAATGTACCCAAGTATGCAATCTTAATAATGTGCAAATTAATTACAAATACCCTATTAATAGGTAATTAAAATATAAAAATATGTAGGATTTATCAACACTAACAATTCGAATTAATGTAGCAAGTTTTATATATAGCAAGTTTTACAAATCGGTCTTTAAGATGTTGATACATTTTCTTGTTAGGATTTTAAAGAAAAAGACTTTACACGAACGACGATATCTCGTGATCCACCAACTGGAATCACGTGGTTTCAGTACCGTTCGATTCGTCTCATCAAGACGAATCTAATGGTACCAAAATTGTGCGATTCCAATCAATGGATCACGAGATATTGTAAATGCGCCAAATTAGGCACTGCGCCAAATTAGGCATACTCACCTTATCATTTAAAAAACTTGGTCATATTATCAAATTTGTTAAAAAAACTTATTTAACATTCTGACATCTTCAACATCAATTAAAATATCTTCCAAATTAACAAACAGTCTTAATGTAATCTTCAACCACTTAACTTCACCAATTCATCTTGTACTCAACCATGGCTTTAACATGCTTATTCTATCTAGAAACAACTCTTTTATGTTCATCATCTTGAAAACTCTCTTCTATTTCGATAACAAATAACAAAGCCACTAACAAAAGATGTGTTACTCTTACAACATATTCTACTCAAGCTATCAATAGCATCCTTAACTATTACTACTAACCTGTTTACTTCTCTAATATAAAACTGTCTAAAGAGCTTATAACTAATTTCATATTTATTATACAACATGTCTAATCACACTTTTATAACTAAACTGCATTTAAACTTATTGATAAAACTTTTTTTAATATCTTTTGGCAATAATACTAACTTCTACTGCCTTATATCAATTCAACTTGGTACTAATTTCTTAACTCTCTTATTACAAATGAAGAACTTTCTCAAATACTCTCTCAGCTTTCTAATAACAAATCCTATAGCCCTACAGGCATTAGTTATAAAATGCTCAAACATATCAGCTCTAAATGCACTTCTGTTATTACTAGTCTTTTTAATCACTGTCTTCTTGAAAACAGAATTTCTAAGTAATGGAAATATAGCAGAATTTATTCTATTTCCAAATATAACTCCTTTGATAGTAATTTTAATCTTATTCAACCTATTAGTTTTGTTGAACATATTCATAAACTATATACTAAAATTATTACAAATAGACTAAGCACTGTATTCTTTTTTAATCCTATTCTTTTACCTTTTAATTATATTGCACTTCCTAATAATAGCACTTCAATTCCTATTCATATCCTCAATAATCTCATTAAAAATGCTACTTGCAATTATAAGGACATTTGGCTACTTTCACAAGATATGAATAAAGCATATGATTCTGTTAACTTTACTTTTTTTAAACATTTATTTTCTTATTTAGCATTCCCTTCATCTATTATCTATATTCTCTCTGATCTTTTGACTAATCAATACAACCAAGTTATTACTAACCTTGGTCTTACTCTTTTATACCCAGTTTACAATGGCATCGATCAAGATGAAACCATTACTTCTTTATTATAATGCATATATTATAATTCACTTATCTCATATATACATGTACAAGTATCTGGTTATATTTTACAATCCTCTTGAACTACTAATCTTAAACTCTGAACATTCAACTTATTACAAAAACAATGCTCTGTCTTGGTATATATGGATGACACTCTTTGGGTTGCTTTGTTACAAAATGAGCTTTCCAATATACTATCCATAGCTGAATTATTCTATGCTATGGCTAACATTCAAGTTAACCTCTCAAAATCTATTCTGGTTACCAATAATCCTCTATCTCACTACACCTTTATTTCTTATAATAATTATTTTCTTTTACTTTACTTTTCTAAACAACTCTTTAAATTTTTAGGTTGCTGGTTTACTTTAGACAATAGGCAATCTAAACAAACAAAACTGCTTATTACTAAATCCTCCCAACTTATTCAAATTACTAAAATCAAACATATTACTGACTCACACACCCATTATATTATTAATACAATTATCATTTCTACTCTTGAATATCATCTTCAAAACATTGTAGTTAGCCAGCCTACTTGCAATAAAATCCTTACTTAATATATTATTCTTGTTAAACTTAAAGCTAAACTTTGTCATACAATACCTTCTAGCACTTTTCTATATCTTCAAATCTACAACATTAAACATATCTGAGACATTTAACTACAACACCATATTTCTAATCTTCTTAAACAACTTAATAATTCTGATTTATTAGGTATATCAACTCATATTTGAATTCAACAATTACAAAACAACCTTTGGTCTTCTACCAACATCTTTTTATATTTTAATCCAATTATTGATGATCCCAATCATCTAACTACAAACTTTAAAATCATTTAGCTTATCAAGCATATTGGCTAGACATTTTCTACTAATTTAACTTATAATGATGAAGCTATTTCTCTTAAATCCTTTCTCTTATCTTATTCAAAATATCTTATCTTCAAAAAACAACTTAGATATCACAAACTACTTTTTCTCAATCGACTTATAACATATAATAATTCATACTTATTATACTGGCAACACATTTCTTCTAGACTAAACAAACTTCCTAAAGATGTTATACCTCAATGGTTTACCACTCTTGAGAACATTACTACAAGCCATTTCTACTAATGTACTTTATACAATCATTTTAATTTACCTTAAACAAATTATTTCTCTTATACCATTAGATACTTTACCTCTAATACTAAACTTTAGTTACTTACTGTTCTTAATGATCAAATAATTATTGGCAAGGCCAAAAGACATAATACCCCTATAAGGCTTATTTTTATTACTTACTGGCACTGCTCATACTAGTTTCAGTTTTCAAATTTATATCCTATTCCTCATTTTACTACTACAATATGTTCTAAATATCAACTTAATTCTAATACAATTGCCAACAAATGCACTATCTTTATCTCTACAAACCTGGCTACAAAACTAGTTTGCTATATCAATTTTGACAAAAATCTTAATCTATATTATTAACCTATAAAAACGATTATAACTCTTGAACTACTAGACAGAATTCGATGAAACCACCACCATTCGAATCAGCTCACTGAGACGGTTCTAATGAGGTATAGATCATCCATT